GGCACCCGCCAACCACCCACTCCTCCTCTCTGGAACTCATAAGTTCATACAAATGAAGTCAAGGAGAAAACTCACTTTTTCCCAAAAAACCCCAAAACCCACATTTGTGAGACGTGCTGACAAAATGAGTTACTTCTCATAATCCACAAATAGAGATATTGGCCGCAAATCGACACTAGGGTCAAATTTTCAGATTCTCCGTTGATACCATATTCTTTAAGTGTACATGCTTTATATTATTTCATACTTATAGATTGTGAAAACTTCATCTATAAGCGTGATGGAGCTATTCCCATAGGGCTCAAATCCGAGAAGTAACTCATTTTGTCACGCTTCACATTTAGGAAGTAGATGAAGAGGAGGACTAGAGGTAAAAGCCACACACACAAATCATCTCACACAACAGTCCACTAAGACAGAGCTACGGTAACTCCATTCATTGAGGATGCACTGTTTTAGGAGGGCATTTCAATAAAGAAAAATATCTTTGACTTTGATATTTGTATAGATTTTCCCACTGTGTTCTCTATCTGAGAGTGTAAAAAAGGCAGACAACAACTTGAATACTGTAAAATGAGCCAAGTAGTGTTGTTGTTGTTGTTGTTGTTGTTGTTGTTGTTGTTGTTGTTGTTGTTGTTGTTTTTTTTAGTAGAGGGTTTTACTCGCTCGCAACTGCATAAGGTCATATGAGCGCCAAGGGGTGGGTGTCAACAGAGAAGTCTTTACAAGGAATCAGACTTAGACTGCTCACCTCTCTAGCTTCAACAGCACAAAGTCTGCTTCGACTATCAAGGCACCCCAAACTAGCAGGTCACAAGAGAGTGACAAACATACAAAAGAAGTAGAGGAAAATGACAATAGTAAGGATGAGGAAAGAAAAAGCAGTAGTTCCCTGTTGTAGATCAGGCAAAGTTATGAGCGTGACATGATGAATCAGCCCATTTACAATTCTACTGTGCTTGAACGAGATATGTCCCCCCTTTGGGAATGGCCTAAAGACACTTCAGTCAGTGGCACTGCCCTGGGGGGTTCCTCCTCTTTGGAACTCATAAGTTCATACAAATGAAGTCAAGGAAAAAACTCATTTTAACCCCCCAAAAAACCCAAACCCACAGAACATTTAGTAAGTAGATGAAGAGAAGGACCAGAGGTAAAAGCCACGCACACAAATCATCTCACAAAACAGTCCACTAAGACTAAGACAGAGCTACGGTAATTCAATTCATTGAGGATCCACTGTTTTAGGAGGACATTTCAATACAGAAGAAAATCCTTGATACTTGTAGAGATTTTTCCACTGTTTTCTTTATCTGAGAGTGTAAAAAAGGCAGATAACAACATGAATACTGTCAAATGTGCTAAGTAGTGTTTCTGAATTGAGTAAGTATGATGCAGGGATGCCACTCAACTTTTTTGAAAATAGCTGAAAATCCACGCGCTACGGTCTCGTTAACATATATAAATATCAATTTGAAACCCAAAGGGTGTACATAGAGAGATATATGACAAACAAACATAAGCAAATATGACAAACAAACATAAGCAAATCTTCCGTGTTTTTTTCCTCCCCATTATTTGAACTTATGGCGAAGTATTCGTTTTTCTGTTATTTGAACATTTGGCGCAAGTTGTTGTGTGTGTGGGTTTGTTTTTGGGTTTTTTCCAACTATAGATTCGATCTCGATCTCAATAACGGAATAGCGGATCAGGATCAAAATACCGGAAAAAAGGGGAAAAGTGACATCCCTGACGATGATTTGAAAAGTGTCACGACAACACTGACTTTGGTCTGCTGCTGATGAGACATACATACAGTGTAACACGGATAGCTCGAATTCGTCGGGACCGGCCTCGGCAGTTTGAGGAATATCTTAGAAAGATAAAGAAGAAACAAAAAACGGGACCACAGGCACAGTTCGACGGATGCCTGATTTCGAGTCTTCTGTGTTCGACCTATCCGTGTTATACTGTATGTGTCAGCTTTGTTCTTAAAGAGTTAAAGAAATACTGGCTAAAGCAAAACAATAGTCAGATAGTGTTTTGTTTTTCTCTAGGGTCACAAACTGAACAGACACTGAAGTCTCTAGGAGGAGTCTGTGTGCAGATAAAAAGTAATCAGAGAGCTCTGAATGATTTTCTTGGAGTATACGGCAGGTCTGTTGTGCACAGGTATAGAAATAGGAGGGTCTGTCAGATTAAACGGACATTTTTTGTTTGTTTTTGTAAAGTGTTTTACGGCGCTCGCAACTGCATAAGGTCATATGAGCGCGTGGGACACACCTAATATTTTCAGTTGGTAGAAAATTTTGAATTTTACCCGGGTGGCGGCCGGAGCCTTCTCTTATCGATTTTAGACCACTAAGGGATCTCTAACGTGCACAACTTGCACACGGGCCCCTTAGATTTTTCGCCCTTGTCCGAGAAGGCTAGGTGTAGATCTTTCCTACCAGAAGATCAGTGGTGTGGCAGAAAGACAGCAGTAAGGAGGAGCCAAGGAGTAGCAGTAGAAAGGCTGCAGAAAGAGTCAGGAGCCCAAAGGAGGGGGCAAAGGAGGTGAGGGGGTGGGGGCAGAAAGTGGAAAAGAAAGCAGACAACAGAACATTGCTAGAGAGTAGGAAAGGAGGTGAAAGGAGACAATTTTAGAGAAGAAAATTTTTCGGTCGCTACTCGGATTCGAACCCGGGACCTTTGAATGAGAGGCCAACACCTTAACCTCTAGGCCACGAGAGCCCCCTTAAACAGACAGAGGACAGCTAGGGAGCAAACCCATGTAGAGGAGAGAAACACAGCCATTGTGGCCACCAGACTGGCATTTCTAAAGAAAGATAACTCAACTTAGCTGACATTCACAAGTCCTCCCCTGCTTTTAGAACAAGGACATTTGGTCGCTTTTAAGGACAAGCGGGCTAAACCAGATTTCGTGGGTTTCCAAAAATCTTGACCTGCACCAAAAGAGGGCATTGCCCTAGCTATAGGAGGAGTTTGGTTTCATTGGTGTGCATATTAACATATTTGTTTGGTTATAAATAAAAACTCTCCTTGTCTTTTAAAGAAACTGAACAAGGGGCAAAAACTTTACCTTTGATTTTCTCAAAACAGCATTTTTCGGGATAGCCCCCATGTGCTTAAAAGTGACCATTCGTCAAATGCTTATTTTTTAATTTTTTTGTCATGTTTTCAAAGGCAATTTAAGACATGAATAGGAGTTTCTACATTTTCTCTTTGCTTTTTTCTTTTCTTAAGAATTAAAAATGGAGGAAATTCATAAATCAGTAGACAACTCAAATTTCCCAATTTGAACCAAAAATCAGCATTTTCAAGGGTCACACCATCCTTGAAGGTCTCAATTCATAGAAAACTACGCTTGGTTCATAAGTAGACATAGCAGTCATTTAACTGGATATGTCAATCAGAAGTGACCAAACTTACAAAGATACAACTGTCATTTTACTGGTAAGACAATTTAAAAAACAAAACAAAATACAGCTGTCATTTAACTGGATAAGTCAATAAAAAATAATCTGAATAGAACTGTCATTTAACTGGATAAATCAATTTTTTTTAAAATAATCTAAAAGCAGCTGTCCTTTAACTGGATGAGTCAATAAAAAATAATCTAAATGTAACCATCAATACTGGATAAGTCAATACAAAATAATCTAAATACAACTATCGTTTAACGGGATAAGTCAATCAAAAATAATCAAAGACACAGCTGTCATTCAACTGGACAAGTCAATAATAATTGATATAAGAAGCAGCTGTCGTTTTACGAGATAAGTCATTGATATAAAGACACAACTGTCATTTTACGAGATAAGTCATTGATATAAAGACACAACTGTCATTTTATGAGATAAGTCATTGATATACAGACACAACTGTCATTTTATGAGATAAGTCATTGATATAAAGACACAACTGTCATTTTATGAGATAAGTCATTGATATAAAGACACAACTGTCATTTTACTGGAGAAGTCATTGATATACAGACACAACTGTCATTTTACTGGAGAAGTCATTGATATAATAAGAAGCAGCTGTCATTTTACGAGATAAGTCATTGATGTAAGAAGCAACTGTCGTTTAACTGGATAAGACAATTAATAAGACCTTCTCAAAGCAGAAAGAACAAACTAACAAACACGTGTACATGGAAACATGAGAGCCTGTACAACCGTAACGTCACCGTCATAACACAACTGCTTAAGTCATTTTTCTGTTCTTTTAAGAAAACTTTAAATAAAAATTACAAAATCAGTGTTTACCCCAGTCAACCTTATGGCTGAAGTGAAAGTTTAAAACATCTCGATAAAATTTGATACTGAGTACATGCAACAAAAAAACTGTAAATTGAAGTAACTAAACAAATATCAGGTATTTTAACCACATATCAGTAACTAGAAACTTGACCAAAAAAATGACATAGGCTACTGTGATCTGACCATGTTAACGTATTATCTTCATGGTCAGATCACAGTAGCCTATGTCATTTTTTTGGTCAAGTTTCTAGTTACTGATATATGGTTAAAATACCTGATATTTGTTTTGTTACCTCAATTTACAGGTTTTTTGTTGCATGTACTCAGCATCAACTTTATCTGACCATGAAGATAATACGTTAACATGTTTACAGAAAACCGGTAAACCACATCAAAGTACTTAATACTCATTACAAAAAGTACATGGTAGAGCGAAACACAGACATAGCAGAACACGCACATGTACACACGTCAAGACAGGGAGGCCTAAACGTCTATGACAAGCGATACACTTTTGATTTTGCGAACATTAAGACAAGAAATTTATCAATGACGAGCAAAAAACTTTTGAATGCGAACATACAGACAGGAAATTTATCAATGACGAGTAAAAAACTTTTGAATGCAAACATACAGACAAGAAAACGATCCATAAATCGCGACCCCAGTGCTTTTTTCTCCCATCTCCATATTTTTAATAACAGTGAAAACAGTTCTCATAACAAAGAGTGGGCTAAAGAAGAAGTCACATTTTCACTGTTTTAAAAAAAGGAGATACGACAAGAAAGCACTGAGGTCGCGAAACGTTTGATCAACCCCCGCACCGATAATCGCCCCTAATGGAACCTGTATTTCCGGGCTGGTTTTAGATTGACGTAGGTTTCCTTCATCTCCTCGCTGTCCTTCTTCTTCACCTCGGAGAAACGCTCGCCCTTCACACTCACGATCTGACCGTCGCGATAACGAACCAGCTTCTTGGCCTCCTGCAAGTAGTTGAGTTTTAGTAAGAGTTTTACAGCACTTGGAACTCAAATAGGTCAGAGAAGAATCAAAGAAGGAAAGAACAGAGGTTTGCTTTAGTTTATTTGGTTCAGTTTCACTTAAAAGTTTACGGCACTTACAACACAGAAAGGTCCTACCAGTGCCTTAAGATTAGAAGTGTCAATGCAGTTGCGAGCGCCGTAAACTCCCATACTAAACTAAAACAGAGGTGTTACTAGAGAGTAACATACAAAGAGAAGGAGGATGAGGAGAGACAAGCGCTAGATAGCAAAGAAGGTGCGAACCACACCAGATCACCCGCAACAAAAGAGTAACTAAATCACAAAAACTCTCCAACAACTATTGTATGCAACAATATATGTAACAGAAAAACATATCACACTCCCTTCAAAGGCTTCTCTAATCTCTAAGTGCTCTTCAACCCCTCTCTAACATTTAAACTCCTCCCCTCTCTCATTGTTAAAACTCTTCAGCTTATTTCCTAAGCTCTTCAAAAAATCTCTAATTTCTCAGCTCTCCAACTTCTCAAATTTCAAATTCTTCAACCTCTCTAGTTTCTAAATCTTTAACCTGTCTAATTCCTGAGCTCTCCGACTTAAACCTCTCTTGTTTCTAATTCTTCAACCTCTTTGATTCCTAAGCTCATGAAGCCTCTAACCCCTAAGCTCTTCAACCTCAGCTTTCCCATGAGATGACAAAACGTGACTTACTCCCTTCAGAGGCGGAGGTTTATACGTCTTCTTGTCTTCCTCTGTGTCAATGAAGGAATATCTGGGGACAGCAGAAACGTTGTTTTAGATACAGCAGAACAGACATCGCAGTTTTGTTTTGATTTAGTAAGTGTTTTAAGGTACATGCAACACAATAAGGTCATATAAGTGCCGAAGATTAGAGGTGTTACAAGAGAATAAAAAACAAGAAAAAGAAGGTGAAGAGTTAAAGATGATAGATGTTCGATAGGAAAGAAGGAGCAGACCACACCAGAGCATCCGCCAACCACCCACATTGCATGTTGCTGTTTTTGACAAGGCAGAACAAATATTGTTGTTTTTAACACAGGAGAACAGACATGCTGTCTTTCACACAACAGAACAGACATTGCTGTCTTTCACACAACAGAACAGACATTGCTGTCTTTCACACAACAGAACAGACATTGCTGTTTTAAACAAAAAAGAAGCACATATACTTCATTTACATAGGAGAAAAGAGATTCTTAGAACGAGGAAAAAAAGCAAAAGTAAGAGCCCAAACACACATAGCCATACACGCTTTCACAAACGGCTGCCTTTGACCCTGTCTCATTAGCCCAGAAGCTCTGGCTTGAAAAGGCAAAGTAATAGAGATTTCTGTGTACTGCTCAAAGGAGAAGCAAAGAAAAATAAAAGGGAATTCAGGGGGGGTGGGGGTCACCACCGTTTTCAATTAACCCTGTTCTTCACAATAGAATAAAATTCCAAAAGCTTACACAATGACACTTTTCATGCATACCGGCACATTCAATTTACAAAGTACAACAATCCTTTAAAGAGAGACTAAAAAAGATAAGGAAAACCAGACGGCTATTTAGACAGTCATCAACTTACTTCTGTAGAACAGAAGACTTGAGGCTGGCATCGTCAAGCTTGTAGTCACATGACTTCTTTACTTTGGCATTTTTCTTCTGTAGGACAGACGAGACAAAATCACAAACCTCAGTCACAAAACGATAGAAAATATGCTATGTAAATAAACAGTCAAAACACCTACATTGTAGACCCTCCACCTCTACAATATAAGTTTATTTCCCACCCGCGCGAAAAAAACCCCAATAAATAATAATAATAATAAATAGTATTTGTATAGCGCATATCCCCGCTCAACAGCAGGCTCTATGCGCTTTACACTATATTATTACCCCAGCAGACCATAGAACACTCCGAAACATTCTCAGCTTCCCGGGAAGCATACAGTGCAAGCAGCCGATTAAGCGCTCAAACACTAACAAACTGACAAGATTTTTCACTGTCTATAGCCGGGTACCCATCCCCACCTGGGTGAAGTGAGGAAAATTCGTGCAAAGTGCCTTTCCCAAGGACACGACGTCGGGCCCCTGACAGGATTCGAACCCACGACCTTACGGTTGCGAGTCCGAGAGCCTAACCACTAGGCCACTGATGCCACTAAATAACTGTCGAACCTGCTCTAATGGCCACCTATGTAAGACAAGCACTTGTTGTACAAAAGGCCAGTCCCCAGTCCCTCCCTTACATTTTGTTCCATTACAATAAGACTATTCAAGACATTCAACTGTCTAAGACAACCATTTTTCTCCTTGACAATGGGTAGTCATCTGGACATTTCCACCATACATACTGTACTTAGAGACACCCCAATACACACAGATACACACACACTCATCCATCCCCCCCCCTCCCCACACACTCATTCCCCCCACATACACACACACACATCCCCCCTCCTTTCCACACTCATCACCTCATCCCCTTCACACACACACTCATTCCCCCCACATACACACATCCCCCCTCCTTTCCACACTCATACACACTCATCACCCCATCCCCTTCACACACACACTCATCCCCCCCCCACACACACACTCCTCCCCCCCCCCACACACACACACAACTCACCAAAGTCCCCTTCGCCTGTGACCGGAGAGCCTGCCCCGTCTCCTGCCTGTCAATGATCAGCTGTGCAGCCAGGTCAAGGTCGCCGTTGGACAGCTGTAGACAGTGCCGCGCCTCCATGGTGCAGGCTGCCGGGAACATCTCCAGCAGGGAGCGCACCTGACCCTCGCCCGTCTCCACGACCTCCGCCTGAAACATACGTCGCAATATTTGTATGAAGGGACGCCACATAACAGGGTTTTTTTTCGGCTTTTTCACGTTTTTGTTTTTTTAAAATCATTTGGCATCCTTGAAGAGGAAGGCCACTGAGATAAGGTCCTTCTCCTCAAGATAGACATAATATTATTGGAGTTGATGCAACAAAGTCCCCATACACTTACAAAGGAAAGGGGAGAGGTCAGAGGGATGTTTTTGTTTTCTCATTTACAAAATTTACAAGGTTCATTTTAGGTGAGGTCATGCTCCGTTCATTTTCAGATTCTTTTTCAAAAATCATTTGACATCCCTGTGAAAGCCATCATAGTGAAATCAGGCACTCGTCAAGATAATGAAATCCAACAAACTGACTTCTTTCGCCTGTCGGACAATTTTTATTGAGTTTTTCTTGGGCACCATTTAAAAAACACATTCCTGTGTGGATTTAACTGAAAAACGTTGATAAAAGCCACAAAAATGTAAAATTTCAGTATCCAAAGATACTCAAGCTTTAGAAGTCACCAAACTTTGGTGGCCATTATTTTGCTAATTTTACCTCTCAAACCAGGCAACCCCCCACCTCCTTCAGTTTCAATCCCAAATATCTCGACCTCAGTGCAAAATAGAAGGGTATTTTTTTTTCATCAAAAGCAAGATGAATAAGCTTTAAGGTGATACCAATATCTCCACATGCCCAAAAATTGACGAACGCCCGATTCCAGTGTGTCTTAACACATATTGTTTTAGGTCATATAAGTGCTAAAGATTAGCAGTTGTAGTTTTAGGTCAAGTGAGAGTTTTACAGTACTTGCAACAGACAAGTGCTGAATATTAGAGGTGTTAAAAGAAACCAAACACAAACAGGATAAGAAAAAGAGATGTTTGATTGGAAAGAAGGAGCAAACCAAATCAGAGCACCTGCAAACCACCCACAGGAAAATAATCTAAACAGATTGACAGAAACAGAAGAGGACAAGAAAAGTAGTAGGACCACCTAACAGTTTGGGAGCCCTCCAACCACCCACTCTCAATCACTAAACTTAAGTAACCTAAAAGTAAAACAGCAGTGTTACGGGTACCAATTATGATCGCCAATTTAGTCAAAAGAAGCATAATATGGACACAAAAAGGATCGTTTAAAACACGGGAAAAATCCAAATGGAAAGAAACAAAAGAGGGAAAGAAAAGAAGTAGGACCACGAAAGAGCAAGCAGCGGGTGGGGGCGCCCTCCGCCCACCCACCAGTATATCTGCACTCACCCTGCCCGGAACGGCATCCTCCTGGCTCTCCTGCGAGGAACAACTGAGTTGCCTCCCTTTCCTCTTGCTGTTCTTGCTCTTGTCACGTGCGGCGTAGAGACCGTTGACCGGAGCGAACGTGATGGTCTCGCTCTTTGCTGACGTAATCTTCTTCCACTCAGCTGGTCTCGAACTTTCTGAGCACACACAGGAAGGAAGCAAAAAAAATAATATATTTTTAACCCTATCCGAACGCCCTGGGGTCATTTTGTACCCCCCGGGGTTGTATTCTTCACATTTTAGAATACTTCTAGTGCGAAGATCTCTTTGAAACTTTCAGTATTTCTCAAAAAATCATTTTGACAGACTGCTATACAAAGCGTACGAATCAGATTAACGGGTAAATTTCCTCTTTGGAAAGTGGTGGCCCAGGGTTCCCTCTACAATTTTCCATAAAGGCCAAAATTCTGTTGGGACCAATGACGGAAACAATGTCTTGCAGTTTTTTGCATTTAAAGTAGGCCCCTATTTCCTTCGGATCTCTCCAAAGTCTAGACATTCGGTTAAAATGTGTCTAATGGTAAAATCTGTGTTGCATCCGACACAGAACGGCTTCTCATCTCCCTGAAGGAGGTTTTTGTGTGTCAGGGCCGTGTGTCCGATGCGTAATCGAGTAAAAATGACTTTGTCTCTTCTGGAGACGTCCGGGGGATTTCGTGGTCCCAGTTTGGGTTTAATATTGTGGAGTTTGTTACTCGTCTGTTTTTTCCAGTGGCTCTCCCACAGACTGGAGGTGTACTTTTTTACTTTATTTTTAAAGTCAGTCTGTGGGAGAGTGTTCGTCGTTGATCCCGACAGAAGGGATGAGGATTTCTCCGCCAGGTCGTCTACCTGCTCGTTTCCTCGGACGCCCACATGGCTAGGTACCAATGCGAACATGATATTTTTTCCTGTTTCAGATAGGATGTGAATTTTTTGTTGTAGCCTAACTATTTTTGGGTGTAGGAGCATGTAGTTAGTGAGTGAGGTGACCCAAGACAGCGAGTCAGAAAGGACAAGGAAAGATTTGTTAGGAGAATTTTCAACGGAGTCCAGTGCCATGTCAATGGCAGTGGCCTCTGCAGAGAAAAAGGAGGCTTCAGGATGGAGTCTCCTCTGGTGTGTATTGTTGGGAGATAGGACTGCGGCCCCCACATCATTGTCTTTTTGGAGCCATCCATGAAGATGAGCTCCGCACCGGGGTATTTTTCTGTTCGTTTTTTGTATTCTGTTTAAAAGTTTTGGTGTTTGTGCTTTCTTTGTTGTGTGTGGTCTGCTGTAAGTCTACTTTTGCCTAGGTGAGGTGCCACAGAGGGAGGTCGGGGAAAATAATTTGTTGGATGTCTTGTTTGGAAAAGTGTAAGTTTTTGAGGTCCTCAAGGATTCAGAGGCCGAATGGTTTGATGAGTTTTTCGTTGTTTTGGAATTTGTTTATGGTATCTGGGTTTGTTTTAAATACGCAGTTGTGCGCTGGATTCTCTGGTGTTGAGCTCTGTTTAACTGCGTATTGTAGTGAGAGTTGTGTGCGTCTGAGTGAGAGTGGTGGTATGTTGGCCTCGGCCTGGAGGCTCTCCATCGGAGAAGTGCGGAAAGCCCCCCAGAGCGGGGCGGAGTCCTTAGTTTTGTACTGGGTCTAGCATTTTTAAGATGTGCGGTTTTGCCGATCCGTAGACTTGACAGCCGTAGTCAAGCCTGGACCGGACAAGGGAGATGTACAAGTGGAGAAGGTGTTTTGAGTCCCCGCCCCACTCCGGATGCGATAGATTTTTCAAAGAGTTTAACGCTTTCTGGCACCTCACACGAAGGTCTTTGATGTGTGGTATGAATGTGAGTTTTTTGTCGAATACAACGTCGAGGAAACGAGCTTGGTCCTGGACGGGAATCCTTTCCCCGTATAGTGTCAAATCCGGTTGCAGCACACGTCTGCCTGTTCGGCAGAAGTGTACTGCAACCGTCTTTGACGGGGAGAACTTGAAACCGTTATTGTTTGCCCACTTTTCGAGTTTGTGCACTTTCCATAGATCTCAGATGAGGATTTTTCGAATGGCAGCATATCAAAAAGTCGTCAACGTAAAACGGAGGGTTTTTACGATGGAATCTATTTTGATTTCAAATAGGAGAGGAGAAAGGATGCTCCCCTGGGGGACTCCTTCCTCCTGTTGGTGGGGGTCTGAAAGGGAGGATCCGACACGAACCTGGAAGGAACGGTTCTTCAGGGAGTTGCCAATGAAGGCAGGGAGGTGACCGCGTATGCCGAGTGCGTGCAGGTCTCTGAGAATGCCGTACTTCCAGGTTGTGTAGAAGGCTTTTTCTAGGTCGAAAAAGATGGCGAACATGTGGCCTCCTTCAGCGAACGTCTCTCACATAAACGTCTCCAGGCGGACCAGGCGATCCAGAGTGGATCGAGTTTTTCTGAATCCGTACTGGAGACCGCTCAGCGAGCCCGTCGTCTTCAGAAACCACATGAGTCGCCTGTGAATCATTTTTTCAATAAGTTTGTACAGACAGCTCGTTAGTGCTATTGGTCTGTAACTGGATGGGTGTGTGTGGTCTTTGCTTGGTTTGGGTATTGGAATGACAGGAAGACTCCGGAAAGGAGTGCGACCACCACATGTCGTTGTATATGTCTAGCAGGAGTGTAAGTGTTTCTGAGGGTAAGTGTCTAATGATCTGGTTGTGGACGTCATCCGGTCCCGGGTCTGTGTTGCCCAGGTCCCAGATGCACGATATTAGTTCGTCTATTGTGAAGTCTGCGTTGTAGGTTTCAGTGTTGTTTGAGAAGAATGACATTGATATGGCTGCTGAATCTTTGCACTCATAGACAAACTGAAAAGTTCTTGTGATCCCAAACTTGCTGAAAGTGTTATGAAATGTTCAAATAGACTAAGTAATCTTTTGAAATCAACATGTAAAGAAAATAAACGTATAGGTGCATTTTTTTTACTTGGTAAAGATGAAGCTTTCGGAACCAAAAGAGGCAAGGAAATCAGATGTCAGCCAGGCAGGGTAAGAAAGTCAGGAAATGGATCACGCCAAGCAGTCAGAAAGGGAAGACCTGTGTCTTTGCAAGCTCTAAGCATGCGACCAAAACCTCGAAAGAGAAAACGTAGCCTGGTCACAAAGGTTAAAAATAACGTCAATATGCCCAAAAAATCTGGCAAACATGTCATGAAATCGAAGGTGAGAAAGGTTGCTTCTTCATCAAATTCTCAATCCAAAATCTCTCCTCAATCAAATTCTAGATTGTGTTTATAAACACCAGAAATACCATATTTTTATTCTGTCAGCCTCCTCCTCCTCCTCCTCCTCCTCCTCCTCTCAACATTCAAGTGTGTCATTTTGTGGTCGGAAATCCATTTACCTATTTGGAGGCTTAAAGACTCGGTAAATAAACAATATGCGTTTATTATAGTGTTGTCTGTTGGGTTGCCCATTTGAAGTGTTTTATTTTCTTGGTTCTTATAAGAAGACATTAGGTCTTTACAAAATGTTAAAATCTGAAAATCTGAAAATCTGAAATTGAAATGTTTCATTACAACATTCTCTATTGGAGGATTACACCATCACTTCACATTGTAATGTTTCATTACAACATTCTCTATTGGAGGATTACACCATCACTTCACATTGTAATGTTTCATTACAACATTCTCTATTGGAGGATTACACCATCACTTCACATTGTAATGTTTCATTACAACATTCTCTATTGGAGGATTACACCATCACTTCACATTGTAATGTTTCATTACAACATTCTCTATTGGAGGATTACACCATCACTTCACATTGTAATGTTTCATTACAACATTCTCTATTGGAGGATTTCACCATCACTTCACATTGTAATGTTTCACTACAACATTCTCTATTGGAGGATTTCACCATCACTTCACATTGTAATGTTCAACACTTTGTCGGCTCATCTCGCTGATTGGCGATGTTTACCACCCAGTTTCTTTGGATTTTCCCCAAAATATGATGGTAAAGTGCAAAACGGTGTTACAAAACAATAATCTTCGGAAGATTGAATATTTTATAGAAGGCTGTCAGTCTGTCAGCTAGCCTTTTTAACATGGCATACCTTGGAACAAGTTCTAGCTATTAAAATACGTAATAAGTATTTTTCCAACTGAGCCCTAGAGGTAGATGGTTTACAATTCAAGTAAAAAAAGACGTGTAAAGTGGAAGGCCGTAAGAATATAGTCTTTTATTGATTAACGACAATAAAATCAATTTGATCAATGTACTAATACAAAGAAAAAACATAAGAAAATTATAAATACATGGTATACATGATATGTGGTAAAATGATTTTTTTTATAGTAGAGGGTTTTACAGCGCTCGCAACTGCATAAGGTCAAATGAGCGCCAACGGGTGGATGTCAACAAAGAAGTCCTTACAGGGAATCAGACTTAGACTGCTCACCTCTCTAGCTTCAGCAGCACAAAGTCTGCTTCGACTATCAAGGCACCCCGGAAATAGCAGGTCACAACAGAGTGACAAACATACAAAAAAGTAGAGGAAAATGACAATAGTAAGGATTAGGAAAGAAAAAGCAGCAGTTCCCTGTTGTAGATCAGGCACAGTTATGAGCGTGACATGATGAATCAGCCCATTTACAATTCTACTGTGCTTGAATTCCCTTTGGAAATGGCCTTAAGACACTTCAGTCAGTGGCACTGCACCGGGGGGTTGGCCTACACCCTGGTGCACGGTGAGAAAGGCAATGATGATGATGATGATGATGATGATGATGATGATGATGATGATGATGATGATGCACTTCTGGGAACACACACAGTGCCCCACTATGATTCATTAAGAATGCATGTTTTTCATGTGCCTTATTAAATTTGATTTCACATTACATTCAACATTACAAATGCTGCATTTAAAAGCTTGTTTTGTGTGAACAGTAGAATGGCGTTTTAGAAGCCATCTACTCTGAAAGTTTTTTCCACATATCTCACACTGGTGAGATTGCTTGTGTTCCTTAGCTTGATGGCGAAGGAGAGCCTGTCTGTCCTTTAGTACGTCCCCACATTCTGGGCACATGGGCTGGCAATATTTCTGGTGATAGACCAGAGATCGGTGATTCTTGTACTCCGCGCCACAGTGCTCACATTTTTCCCGCTCTGCCAGCCCGCTGTCCAC